AATGACAGTATAGCTCAAATTCAATGATCTTAAGGATTGGAATTTCAACAAGAAATCATCCAGACCCTCAAGTTTAAGAAAAGGTGATGACATGCTACTGTTTTTTAGCTCAGATCTGTTCACAACCATAAAGGCATCCAAATCCCTAACCTGTTTGGTCATACGATGGAGTGCGGCGACAGTTCGACGGTCCCAAGGAACAAGTGTCAAATGACGATTTTTTTCTGGTATATTGTGCACAAGATCCTCGCATCTGAAGCATATGTCCTGAGGTTACCATATCATGGAAAAGCTTAGGCATTACAAACTTGTCCTCTTTTTTATCATGATGAAGTGATGAATGCTCAAAGAATGACTTACAGACCAACTCATTGAAATACTGAGTGCCTATTTCTTCTAGGTTCCCAAATTCCCCGCATTTGATGAAGCCCTAAGACATCCATAGCCTAATTAGCTGATGTTTTTTGAATACGAAATCTTTTGGAAACAAAGAGGACAATGTGAGGCACGACTTCAAATGCTGGGGCAAAATATCACAGAAAATTTTTAAATCTGGTGAGAATGCTTCTTTCAAGTTGTCCAGCTCCTGTAAAACACTCTTTGCATGACAGAGAAGTCCACAGATAGCCTTCACGTACAGCGGGTTACCTCCACAATGGTAAAGAACGTTACTACTAATTCCCATGTCCATTATCAGTACCAGGGCCATGACCATCATCGCAAGCAAACTTCTGGTGAATATGTAAGCAATGTTCATCTCCTAGAGGGCTCAAGTGATAGAAACATGGTATTCTTGGAAATGGTCTTGGGATGCCTCCTTTTGCAAAATATTCCTGCTTTGTTGTTATTATAATGGCACTCCTTTTAGCAAAAAAATTCCAGAACTTCACGTATAGTTCGCCAGAAAAAAGGGCACGCAATGTGACAATCCTCCAACACCAGCACAAGTTTATTCATCTTGTACAACTTGCCGAAGGAACTTCAGTTCCCTTATGTCACATTGGACTTGAGTTGCATGTTCAATGATGGATACCATTATTCCTTTTGCATCGAACTTTTCAGGCATGCATAACCATAATCGTAAATCAAAAGCATCGCACACTCTCTGATCATTGTACACAGTGCCAGCACCCCTCTTAGCAGCTAGACAGATCACAGATGGTTTACACCTTGCATTGTGATACTCTCTTGTACTGTACATCCTCTCATCCGTAGGTATCTGAATGGGTAGCCTGTGGCATGCATGTATGTTGGGTAGGTTAGCCAAGTAACTGAAAGTACTAGAACAGAGGCACTTAGCATACATGTCGAAATATTAACATCCTACTACTATTTTTTTCTCGAAATTTTTCTGGCAGGACCCTGCCCAGCTAGTGTTAATAAAGGAGAGAGTTTGAAGTAATAAGTACTTCCTCCATTGATAAAGGAGAGAGATAAATCCACATCTTAATATAGGGGACAGAGTTTGAAGTAACTTCGCTGGTCCGGTTCCTGGCCTCTTCTTCAGAAATAAATCAGTTCAGACTTCAGAGTAGATACAGATGGGAGCGGGAGGGAGAGATGTTGCAAACGATTTGCAACTTTGCCGATCTTTGTATTTGGTATACTACATTACCACTATACCTGGGGAACAAAGCAGCTTTCTAGTTCTGATGGAGGAGACCAAACGGCGTCAAGACTGACGCAGATTCTGGAATTGCCACCGGTGGTGGTGGTGCCCATCTTGATCTCAAACTCAAACGCCGCGCCCTGCAACGCCCTGATTGAGCGACGGAACTCCACGGCGATGGCGCAGCGGTCGACGACCCGAAGAACGGCCGCGCACATCTCGGCCTTCAGGCGGCTGCTCGGGCTGGTCGGGTGGTGCTCCATGCAGCGGCAGAGGATCCTGAGTCCTGACGGTGTCGGCCATCAATGCCTCCGCGCAAGCAGCTGCCGCCGACGCGCTGCCTTGAGCGTCTCCCGCAGATCGCTTCGTCGTCACCCACGACGTGACATCCCGCTGGACAGTCCTCAGCTCCTCCTGCTTCGCAGTCGCGCCGTCGATCGCTCGGCCGAGCCCGTGCGGGCGCGGCTGCGCGGGAACGGCCTCGAGATCCTGGATCCTGCCGTTCGCGGCGCTGCCGCGGCTGACCCCGATGTCGAGCTCCGTCAGGAGCCTCGTGGTGATGTCGCCGACGGCCGAGAACCAGAGGACCGAGGATTGCTTCTCGGGGGTCGGTGCCGACGTCCCATGCTCGGAGGAAAACCAAGCGCGTGGCATTGTGGCGGACAATGAACGTCTACGGGTACGGGTCGAGCACGTTTGCACGTTTGGACTTTGGATCAGCTTGTTGCCACCCGGGCACCGTGTGCAGCGCGTGCTGCAGCTGCGTCTGGGTTCATCGCAATGCCGCCAATGTGCCCCAGGTTCCCGTGATTCCATTCCATCTCTCCAGTGTCCTGTTTCTTGTGTCCAGGTCCAGCGCTCCGTTCACTGCTCAGTGAACTGTGGAGTGTGGACTGGTATCGACCAGAGGATTCACAGCAAGTACAATAACAATTTTATAGATAAGGTATTCAATATTTTTATAACTGAAAAAAAAGAAGATATAAGAGAAGAGTTTGGCTCTTAGAGCAAGTGTTTAGCTATAAATCAAGTGGTAAACGATAAGATATATAATAGTTATCTCTTATTTATGTATAAAAACTTTTTTATTACTATTTTTTTTCATACTAGGTAGCGTGCCCGTGCGTTGGTACGGGACAACTAAACTTTTGTACTAAAAACACACGGATCACATGATAAGATAACAATACTGTGAAATTAAATACCGACGTTAAAGTGATATTTAATCAAAAAGCAAAGTTTGTGAAATTAACACAGTCACGGAGAGCGTGTCGTCGCAAGCTCATAAACTCTACTGTATAAATCTTTACGTGATATGGCTAAGATAATATTTTATATCAGCAGAAAGAAATCTTTGATGTGGCAAACATGGTAGCAATTAAAATAATATATAGAAAACAAGTAATAAAAGCTAACGCTACGACAACATTTTGTACATACACATCAAAACTGCCAAATGACAATAAAATCTCTTGTCACGCTATGGACCAAGTCATCTCCATGGCGAGAAGTCTTCAAAATAAAATCATTTTCCATGCAAACTAAAATTTGGTTGAATTCGCGCCACGCTCGAATTCAACATTCAACCACATCCCTTTCAAAGGCATATTTTAAAATTAATTTGGTACGCTTCATTTTATTTTAGATGCATGAGTTTTATTTCAGTCTTGTTTGGAGTTTAACTCCTTAAACCCCCTCCTTTGTCCCTAAAAGAAAAGGGAAAAAATCCCTTTGGCCTTGTAGCCAAGCAAACAGGCCTCCACCACAGGCACAACATACTGCATCAGCATTTTACTAAACAAGAGCAATACTGACATCTCTTGGTCTTTCCCATTGTCGAAAAACACAAAATGAGCTTCACAAACCATGAAGAGAACACATAACTACAGGTGTTTATTACCCATTTTTTTAGCATGAGAAATGAAAATATAATCATATAAAATAATTACTTTATGATAATGTAGTTTTACAATTATTGAGAAGAGTCTTAGCAAACATAAGATATGAACTACATCCAAATAAATAAAGACCATGGAAAAAACATAAAACAAATTGTCTATACACCGCGATGGTACTCAAGCAGTAAAGACACATTTACAGCCTGTTCACTTGGTCGTGTTTGGTTTATAAGCCATGGCTTATAAGCCATGGCTTATCAACCAACGAACAGTATTTTTCTCTCACACCAAATCAGTCAACAGTACTTTCAGGCATGGCTTATCAGCCAAACAAGCCCAAACAAACAGGGCGTTACATGGCTTCAGTTGTTTATCTGTCAAATCCATCTTGTTCAAGCAAAGTGGACATTTTTCATTAGTTTGGTCGTTCATTGTGACTCTGCCTTAATAGTTGAAGAAGCAAGATAACTGAAAACAGAAGAAGAGTTACTTACCAGAATATGATACAGTATAAGGATGTACAGTTTCATAACATGATTAATCTAAACAACAGCATCGGAGAGATGTTGCAAAACATAAAGCTCGATTGACATAGGCGCATAACCAGCACCTCGAAACACAAACGACCTATGTCAGTTTAATCAAGGAATATGACAATATAGCTTTTATGACGACTAACTATTAAAGGTACACATAATGAATGCTACTGCCGACGGGCCCCGCCCGTCAACCTCACCCTCCCCATCCCCTTCTTCCTCCTGAAGGAAAAACTGTTTCCGTCCCTGTTAAGTAATTTTGTATTAAAATCCCTATGGCAACATCCAAATATGCAAATTAAAACAACCCAACGACAACTTGATGCATAAGACTTAGCATTTCCCATGGACCTATTAAAGATGGAGGCGGTAAGGTTATCACAATATTAAAAATTTGCCATGCTTAGTCAATTCAGTGCAGTTTTATATACAATCATAATAAACAAATGTCAGCAAATCACTATCTGACTCTTGCACCTGAAACTTTAATTTCTAACTCTATCCATATCTTCGTGAAACAAAGGTTTTTGGCAAGTAGTACAAGTTAGCTTTACTCATTTACACAAAACAGAGGCTATTCAATACAGTTGGCCAATTGATTTCATCCGTAGATAAAGATGGACATATATCATTTTCTGAATTATGACAATAGGCAACCTGTTTGAATGGATTAGCTCCTTGGGCTAAACAGCCATAGTCCCTGTCCTCCCAGTTGATTTAGTGATACTCTGTAAAATGCAGATGAATGAATCAAATATTAGTACAACTTTCAAGAGTCTTCAGATTGTAGCATACAAAATTTGTCATCTTTTTTATTCTAGAGTTTGAAATTTACTAATTACAGAATTGTAGTTATCTACAAATATTTATTATTTATATGCCTTAAAACTCTTAGCACATTAAATATACAATTATTTCCAGTTGAGAAACCATACCTTTGAAAGGTACCAGTGACATTCAGCATCTCCCAAGTAAGGACCAAACTGATCCTGATATAAAAAGGAACCCACATGGTAAGAAAATAAACCAACCCTCTTTAGATTGAAATAGCAAAGCAAGCACAAGCAAACTACCAAGAATTCTCTGAAGTGAACCTACTATCTCGCTTTGTACACCATCAAATCTGATAGATCCAAGCTATGTACACAAACATTTGCAAATTGCAAAAAAAGAAAAAAAAATATATGAACATCTGAGGCCTCAAAATACTTACCATGCATTGAGGCATTCCCCTCACCGTCGCTGCTCTTCTGCCGTGCAACACTGCCCTCGTCGTTGCTGCTCTTCTGCCGTGCAGGACTGCCCTCGCCGTCGCCGCCTTGCGCTCCCGCTTCCCGCACCACCGTTGCCACACTCCAGAGCCGCAGTCGCATGCCTCCGGCTCCTGTCCACCGGAAGCCACACATCCCCGCCTTCAGTCAGTTCTTCCATACAATCAAACTTTTAACCCTCAAAACCATTTGGGTGGAGCTCGAAGGATTGGCATATGTGCATTCAGTTTTTGCTTAGATTTCCAGTCTAATTTATTCAGTTTTGCAAGGAACTTGTTCATTCTTATAAGCACATTATAGATAAAGCATATGTGCATTCGAGATATTATAGATAAAGCATCTCTGTGCATTTGAGATATTCATCCAAAAGTTCAGAATTCATGATTTGAGATTATATCTACCAAAAAAACATTATCAGAACATAAACTAACATGAGAAAATTTGATCATGACTTTCAATGAGCAAGTTAGTATCACGAACACAAGGACAAGTGACTCAACATTCAGTGCTACGGGAGCATGTTGATACACTAAATATTGGAGTGCAAGAACGAAAGCAAGCTGTAAACATGAGTATCTTTTACTGCAAATAAAGTGCGGACTACCTCCTGCTTCTTCTTGAACTCCTCCCAGGTGATGGTGTGCGTCTTGTTAAGGTGCGTGTTGTTAAGGCTGGCCAGGCGCGGCGCGCCGCATGTCACTCCGGAGAACTAAAAAAATCCAAGACTCAAAGAAATGAGGAAAAGAAAAGGGAAGCAAAGGGAGCAGAGCGTACGACCTCTTCGGAGATGAAGCAGAGCTCTCCACGGGAGACTCACCGCGGCGGGCGAACTCAAACGCGGCGTGGCTGCACCGGCCATCCGAACCGCCGAGGGCAGGAGTAGGGAGGAGCACGCGTCGCCGCTGAGAGGGCAGAGATGCCGGACGCTGGGAAGACAGAGATGTCGGCCGCGGGGAAGACAGAGATGGCATCACGATACCGCCCGTGGCGTCCTCAACTGCGCACATTTTCTCCATCGTGAGATGGACGCAGCAAACCCTACTGGCCATCTGCTGCTTGCGTCTAGAACAAGAGAATGAACATGTACCCTGCTGAGGCGACGGCGTCACTCCTCGGCTCCCCTCTTGCAGCGCGTGGGAGGAGGTCCGTCGTGGGGATCTCGCGCTCACTCATGGCCGAAGGTGGGCGGAGGATGTCCATGGTGGGTGCGTTGAAACGGGTGCCACGGATCGCAAACAATGGAGGCAGTGGAGTCCCTTTCCTACCCGCGATCGATGGAGGCAATGGAGACGGGTGCCACGGATCGCAAACGACGAAGGCAGTGGGAAAGGGGCAGTGGATACGGGTGCCACAGATTGCGCCGCCGTCGTTGTAGGCGTCATGGGAGGGGAGGGGAGGGGAGGCGCTGCGGGGGCCGGGGCGGCAGCGGTGGGGTAGGACGGAGGGGAGCGCGTGATGCGGATGTGAGAATGGCGGCGATGGCGCTCGAGTCGTGTCTTCGTCGTTTTTTTTCCTCGGCCAATTCGGGAGTTGTCGGATGGTATTTGATAAGGGTTAATTCGTTCTGTTCTATTATAATTTTACTAATTTTGAAGCACACTGTTACTATTCGTGAAACTATGCCAGTGTCATTATAATTCTTGCAAAAGCTAAAATATGCCATTATATATGTCTATGACGTCTTTGGGCCCACGTGCAGGTGTATAGGCAATTTTGTATTTTCGTATGAACCAAAATACCCCTCCACTCTACCTCACTTACAGGTGGGCCCAATGTGTCATCCCATTCCTCTCTCCTGTCCTCTACCCTGAGCTTGGTCGAGTGGCCGCGGTGCGCCGGCGAGCGTGGACGCTCCTCTCAGGCGAACGTGGACGATGACAAGCTAACGAACGTGGGCACAATCCATGGCATGGGCACGGCCGCACAGCAAGAGGCCGTATAGCACCAGATGCCGGCCATCTCCTTCCCGACCCCAGATACTAGACACGATGTCCGACGGCACCTAGCCAGGGCGGCGTCGCCCAACCGCCAGATGCCGATGCCGACAATAGCGAGCAGCGGCACCCGACCGGAGGAGACTTCGCCCGCACCATCAGCGTCAATGTGACTGCAATCAAAGCTCCGTGAGCTGGACCTTGCCGGTGAGCTCGTCTCACGCGCGGATCTGACCATTGCCGGGCCAAGGGCCACGAACTCAGCTCACCACGCCAACGGCTGAGACCGAGGGCACCATTGCCGTCACCCAGCCGCACGGGCTTAGCCACCTCCGCCGCCCTCGCTAGCCGCCAGCTCTGCGCAAAGGTCGGCCGAGCTTGCTCCCAGCTGGATTCTTCTCTGGCCGCGCTGCCCGTTGCGCCGACCCCGAGGGCCGCGTCCGTGCCGCTCGGTGCTCGCCGACACGCCAGCCCCGTGCGGCGCGACTAGCCCGACGTGCCCCCGCTTGCTCGCCCGGTGGCGGTGGCTGTGCGCTCGCCGGCTGTGGCGGCAGGGCCCTCGCGTGTGGTGGGTATGACCGGAGATGGAGAGGAGTGAGAGAGGGTGGGAGGCTGACGAATGGACCCCATGTGTCAGTGCGTGTGAGAGAGAAGAGGAAGAGGACAATCTTGTCCATATGGATATACGGTACCGTTTGTACATCTGTCAGTGGGCCCAAATCGTATCCGGATGTATATAATGGGGTATCTCAAATATCTGCAGAGTTCCAATGGCAGTGGCATAGTTTCTTGAATAGTAATGGTGTGTTCCAAAAACGGTAAAATTATAATGACACATATCTAATTAACCAATTTGATAAAGTCTCAATGCGTGGTGCTCCGCCTGGGTGGCATTTGGAGGGAAGCGAAGGGATCGCAGGGGCGCAGCGGGACGACCCGACCAACGTCGCACCAAAGTCCACTCTTTAGTCTTTCTAGTTCTGATAAAATTATGAGATGAGATATGAGATAAGATTTCACCTTTTTTTTTCCTAATCCTCCTTGCATCACTTGATATCTAAACTCATCGGTGCACAGTCTCTCATGCCAGCTTGTTACTTGCCAGAGAGCCAAGCCCTCCCCTCTCTTATCACTTCTCTCCTCCGCATTAGCATTTGTTTAGTTATAGATCATTATTGTATTTGCTCTCATACAAGTAACAAGCTAGGCACGGAAGCATAGTTATTAGTGGATCCAAGAAAAAAAATATATGTAAGGGAGAATAAGAAAAGAATATAAGGCTTAAAACTATATAATAAAATAAATAAATAAATGGTAACTATATTAAAGAAATGTGTAACCAAACACTTGGTATTGACTTTTTTGAAACGGTAAATTTCATTCAAAGCTTAAATACAAGCAGTCTGTTCGCTTGTTGGTTTCAGCCAGGGTTTATCAGCCAACCAACAATGTTTTTCTCTCACAACAAACCAGCACCGGCCGGACTTATCAGCTCAGAAACCAACCAGCAAACAAGCTCAAGATAGAGATATGGGGCAAAAATTGCCCCATTGAAAGTTTTCCAGAGCCATCTGGATAGTACAATTTGTAGAATGAGTTCAAGACTCGCAAGAGAACAAGCAAGAACTAGGAACTGCAGTCCGCCTTGCTTTCCTTGCGAGATTGTCGGCCACAGAATTTGCATTTGTACCAATTTTAGGGTGTGTTTAGTTCACGAAATGAAAATTTTTGGGTGTCACATCAGATGTTTTGGGATGTCGGAAGGGGTTTTTGGATACTAATAAAAAAACTAATTACATAGCTCGTCTAGAAACTGCGAGACGAATCTATTAAGCCTAATTAGTCTATCATTAGCGCATATTGGTACTGTAGCACTTATGGCTAATCATGGCCTAATTAGGCTTAAAACATTCGTCTCGCGATTTCCAACCAAACCGTGTAATTAGTTTTTTTCGTCTATATTTAATACTCCATACATGTGCCGTAAGATTCGATGTGACACTTTACATGACCTTAACGGTAGAATGTGTCATATTTGCTGTAGAAGCTATAAAGTCCGCAGGTATTGGCCGCAGTGACCAATGACCCGGACTATGGACTTGATCCCTCCTGTTCGCTGCCATCGCCAAAACTTCATTATCTGTAATAAAGACGGGTCTTTGGACATTTATTGCAGCAGCAAGTTTAGCTGCCAGCAACCATGCATAAGCTTCAACCTGAAAAAGTATGTCTTATTTAGTTCGCGAAATTTGGATTTTGGGGCTACTGCAGCACCTTCGTTTTTATTTGGCAAATAGTGTTCAAACATGAACTAATTAGGCTCAAAACGTTCGTCTCGCAATTTCCCACCAAACTGTGCAATTAGTTTTTCTTTTCGTCTACATTTAATGCTCCATGCACGGGCCGCAAACATTCGATGTGACAGGTACTGTAGTAACTTTTTAGAAGTTGGGGTAGAACTAAACAAGGCTTCGAATACTATGTGATGGATAATTGAGGATGAATATTCCAATCCCAGTTTGGGTGGCATTTGACTCCGCACAAACAAAAGCATCGCAAAAGATTTTTGGGCCATCAAGAACCTGCATGTTTTGATTTCTATATTGCATACCTTGGGGCCTGTTATTGTTGTCATGCAATGGAAGATGGACAGGAGGGTTACAAGGATAAATCTCTGTTGACAAATTGTAAGCCAATTCAATGGCTTTTGCTTCATGCAACACTTTCATATGTGTCCCATTCAATCCTTTGAATCTATGATCATTTTGAGATTTCCATGTACACCACATGATTGAGAAAATTTGGTTTACCGTTGCCTGGTTTGGAGTTTGCTGCATTAAAGTAGTAACCTGAAAATGTACTCCCCGACCTGAGGAAGGAAGTGCATGAGTTCTTAGGCCTACTGGGGACGCAAACCAAACGGCTCTTGCAAAGCTGCACTCAAAAAACAAGTGAGCATCATTTTCTATTAATCCACAACGTGAACAAGTTTGTTCTATGCTTGGAATTATCCTGTGAATTCGGCTAGCAGTGCCTAGAGCGAGACGCAACAACCGCCAAGCAAAAGTCTTAACTCTAGGTTGCATTGTTTTATCAGCCCACACCTTTCTAAGAATTTGTATAACCTAAGATGGAATATTTGTTGGTGGTGCAGACGTAGCCTCCTCTGTCGCCAACATTTTGTAAGCGCTCTTGGATGTGCAGCGACCATCAGGGGTCAATTTCCAGCAAAGGATGTCTGGTTGATCACCTGCAATTGCTGTAACCCACAGAAGAGTCTCCATAGATTGTGGACCAAACAGAGTTGTAATTTTTTCTGTATCCCAAAGTTTAGTGTTAGGTCGCCATAAATCAGAAACCATGCTAAGGATTTGATAAGCAGTTTGTTCCAAATTTAAGCGATTGTGCAGATCCTTCCGAAAAGTGCACCAAGGTTGATTCCAAATACAAGTGTCCCTGTTTATAAACTGAATTGTGACATTTTCCTCTAAATGGTTTCTGATAGCAAGAATTAAGGCCAAAAAGGTAGATTTAGGAGTGTAAGTTGCAGCAGTCCAAAACGAGGCAGTTGGGTAGTACTTCGCTTTGATAATTTTAGCTACCACCAAATCAGGTTTATGAACAAAACGCCAAGCTCGAGGTTTATGAGCTCGAGGTCCAAAACAAGTGCAACAGTGACTTCCGAATATATTTCGGGGCTCGAGTAAGGATTAGAGCACGTTTTTTTTTATTTTTTGAACTGAGCCTCCATATATATTTAGCTATGGGATTCAGTTAGAGTCCCACTGCAGTTGTTATGATACAGTTTTTGGTGATAGCTCGAAACTTTTTTTTTGTCAGTGAAACCTCTACTGCTTCTTCAAGCTGCCCTGCGATTCTGCAAGCTACTACTGCTGCTGAGTTGTGACTTATCTTCCGACGTGGAGGTCTGGAGCCAACATCCAGCGTGGCGCGTTGGGGACGCCCTTAGAAGCATAATAACCTGGGTCTTCTCTGCACTCGACGTCACCAGATGCCTTGTCACTGACAGCAGTGTGGTGACTAGCGATTCGACGGCCCTCGAGGACGCTGTCCAATGCTCTTGCACGGGAACGGGAGTAGTACTAGTACATGTTTCATCTGAATAATTGGTCAACCAAACTAGCCACAGCGGCACAACCTCAGCTCGGAGCTCCAGCAGATTCCCCCCATGGCAGCGGCGCGAGGCGAGGGGTGGCTCGTCGACGACCTGCGGGACTTCCTGGACGACTTCACCTTCAGGGCCAAGCGACTGGCCGCGCCGCTGCTGCACAAGTTCGGGCCCTCCTCCGAGCCGGGCGCGGTCGACGACGCCGAGCTCGACAAGCTCAGGTCCAGGCTCCGGCGCATCCGCGCCACGCTCCGGGCCGCCGAGGACCGGGTGGTGGCTGACGAATTCGTCGCACTCGGGCTCCGGGAGCTCCGGGACCTGGAGCACGCGGCCGAGGACGTGCTCGAGGAACTCGAGTTCGAGGCGCTCCGCGCGGCTCGCCTCGAGGAGTTCAAGGCCCATCTGCTCCGCACCAGCGCCAGCGCCGGCGGCAAGCGGAAGCGCGAGCTCATCCTGATGTACTCCTCCTCCCCCGACCGCCTCAGCCGCAAGATCGCCAAGATCATGGAGCGGTACAACGAGATCGCGAGGGATAGGGAAGCGCTCCGGCTGAGGAGCGGCGATGGGGAGAGGCGGCACGAGGTCAGCCCCATGACGCCCACTAGCGGCTTGATGAAATGCCGGCTTCACGGAAGGGAGCGGGACAGGAGGCAGGTCGTTGAGCTGCTGTTATCTGGCGAAGCTAATTGCTATGATGTCTATTCTGTTGTTCCTATCGTTGGGCCGGCCGGTGTTGGCAAGACTAGTTTAGCACAGCACATCTACAATGACGAAGCCATCAGCTCAAACTTTGACATTAAGATGTGGGTATGGGTGTGCCAAGAGTTCAATGTCTTGGAGCTTACAAGGAAACTCACCGAAGAGGCCACGGAGTCCCCTTGTGACTTCGCCGACATGAACCAGATGCATCGTGCCATCACTAATCAGCTGAATGGGAAGCGGTTCTTGCTTGTTCTTGATGATGTGTGGGATGAAAGCTGAGACCGCTGGGCGAGCTTGCAGGTGCCTCTGAAATGTGCTGCTCCTGGGAGCAAAATTATAGTGACCACTAGAAGCACTAAAGTTGCCAAGATGATGGCTTTGAAGATACACCAATTGGGGTACCTGTCTGATACCAGCTGCTGGTCTGTCTGCCAAGATGCTGCCTTGCGAGGCCGTGATCCCAGTATTATCGATGACAGCCTTATCCCCATTGGTAAATTGGTTGCAGCAAGGTGCAAAGGCTTGCCGATGGCTGCAAATGCAGTTGGTCATGTTTTATCCAGTGCAATTGATAGGAATCATTGGGAGGCTATTGAGCAGAGCGATTTTTGGAACAGTGAAGTGGTTGGGCATACCTTCCTGCTCTTCTTGTGAGCTACAGTAGCCTGCGTAAGCACTTGAAACACTGTTTTTCTTATTGCTCGCTATTTCCAAAAGAGTATTTGTTTAGAAAAGACAAGCTCCGTCTATGGTTGGCGCAAGGCTTTATTGAAGCAGACAAAGAACGTCATGCTGAAGATGTTGCGTGCAAGTATTTTGATGACCTTGTGGAGAATTTCTTTCTTCTGAGATCACCATACAATGATGAGAGGTAAACATTGTTCATTTTAGAAATTTCATCAATGATTCTTGAAGTGCCAAGCATTAAGTTGAGAATCTGGTTCTGAACACATAATCAAGTTAGTGGCAATCCATTCTCTTAACTGTGACAATCAATTTCAGTATTAATAGCTTGCCTTTTGCTAATCATAGCTGTTACGTGATAGTCGTCGCTATCGTAAATTGTAATAGTCATCTTACATATGATTCAAAGCTGAACTAAGTTGTGCATGAACTCAACTGTTGGTGATGGTGCGTACTTTTGTTGTACATCGTACTAGTGCCCATACATCAATGTCTACATCCAATGTATCTACCCGGTGTTGAGGTTGCATGTTAATGTGCGATACATATCAGAAACTGAATAATGAAGGTGGCGGAGCGACTTTCAAATGGATGAAATGCCACTTAATAGAAGTTGGGAGTAGAGTGTTGCAAAAAAAAATGATTAAAGAGTTAAAACACATCATTGATGTATTGCTAGCAAATCTTGATACATTACATATTAAATGTGTAAACCCCAAATATTAATGAATATACTATTAGCGTCAACATGATTACACAACCAAGAACACTGGCGTTATTTTATCTTCCATTCATATATTTTTTATGTAAGGTTCACATGTTATAATAGGATAATATGTTGATGTTTCCTCAGTGTGAATGCATCTTGACTCTTGATTACTTCTACTGGCTGTCATGGAAGTAGGGTCCGCTCGTTTCCTTCGTTCCAAACGGTCTCCTCGGCTTCCTTTCCTCCGTTTTCGTTTCCTTCATTTTTCCTACGAAAAACCTTCGTTCCAAACAGGCCCTAAACATTTTGGTTTGCTTGTTAAATCCTGTGATTTTTACTGATTTGTGACCCCCCATTATTTAACTAAATTAATGGCATTAGAATATCACCAACCTCAGTAATGCATATTGAATTTTTTTTTGGCTCATTTTTGGTGATGACAACTATTTGTAACAATATTACGTGTGTGTTTATGTTGTTCTGAGATAATTTATAGAACTACAATATTTTTTCTTCTAACAGGTTTGTCATGCATGACCTCTATCATGAGCTTGCTGAATATGTATCAGCCAAAGAATATTCCAGGATAGAGAAATCTACATTCAGCAATGTAGAAGAAGATGCTAGACACTTATCCTTAGCTCCAAGTGAGGACCACTCGAATGAAATTGTGCAATTCTATGCACTCCATAACCAATATCTGAAAGAATCTCTTACCCCTGGCCTGCGAACATTATTGATTGTTCAAAAGGATGATTTCAAGAGTGAAGGAAATACTTTGTACATAAACTTCCCAAGTGGCCTGTTCAGGCTTCTTGGGTCTTTGAGGGCTCTCGACTTGAGTAATACCAACATAGAGCACCTGCCACACTCTGTTGGTGAATTGATACACCTTAGGTACCTCAGTCTTGAAAATACCAAAATCAAATGCCTACCAGAGTCAATAAGCGCACTCTTCAAGTTGCATTCGTTGAGTCTCAAATGCTGCAATAGCCTTGGTGAATTACCTCAGGGGATCAAATTCCTTACTAATCTAAGGCATCTGGAACTGCCATCCATGGATAACTGGAATATGTGCATGCCATGTGAGATTGGTGAATTAACAAACCTACAGACAATGCATGTGATCAAGGTCGGAAGTGATTCAGGCAGCTGTGGGATTGCTGACTTGGTTAACTTGAATAAGCTTAAGGGAGAGCTATGCATCTCAGGAATAGAAAATATCACAAGTGCACAAATTACTCCTGAAGCTAGCATGAAGAACAAAGTTGAATTGCGCAAATTGATTCTCCACTGGTCTTGCGTCGACTCCATGTTTTCTGATGATGCATCCTCTGTTTTGGATAGTCTTCAACCTCACTCTGATCTAGAGGAATTGACTATCACGGGCTTTTGTGGTGTCAGATTTCCTTTATGGCTGGGGAATGAGTATATGTTTAGCTTGTCCATTTTAGAACTAAAAGATTGCCTGAACTGTAAAGAACTGCCCTCTCTTGGTCGGTTACCTTGTCTCAAAACATCTTTCAATCAATTCGCTCACCTGCATAAAGCATGTGAGACGAATGCTTCCTGGCCATGACGAGACTAACTGTGGTGATTGTAGATCCAGCACCAGCAGAGCCTTTCCTACATTGGAGACACTGAAGTTCATGAACATGGATTCCTGGGAGCTATGGGATGAGATTGAGGCCACAGACTTCCATTGTCTTCAGCATCTCACCATCATGAGATGTAGCAAACTGAACCGGCTGCCCAAGCCCCATGCACTGCAAAATCTCCGTATAAAGAATTGTGAGAATCTACTCAACTTGCCAAGTTTCCCATCCCTCCAATGTATTAAAATTGAGGGTTGCTGGTGTGTTAGTCAAATAATGCAGCTCCGAATATTTTCTCATATTGAGACATTAGAACTCCGTTGTCACAAGAAACTTGTATCAATGAAAAAGATCCCGAATCCAATCCTTCACAGTTTTTGATTGAAGCAGGAAGGGCAGCTACATAAGTTTTCAGGGTATCAAGTATTGCCTTTTCAGAATTTGTCTGTTCAAGATAGTCAGGTACATGTGACCACTAAATTACATATACCAAATATAATTGTCATTTGATGTAACAGATTCTGAAACATCCATGCTCGCTATGTATTTTAGACAACTTGGACATTTTTAAGGTGTGTGGGACAAACACATGAATGTAATTGCAATTTTGTTGCATTTACGGATCTTACATCTGGACAAACTGATGTACATCATTCTGAAGGTAGCTCCATCCACAGATACTTGTTCCTTTGTGGGCTCTTTTTCATTTTCGGCATGCATATGCATTAATGACATCGAATTTGCCTATTCTTTAATAGGAAGAATATATTTGGCACCTAGTATTGTTTATGTCAACTCAGGACATTTAACAGAGCTTGCTTTCATTTGTGTTTATCAATTTCAGGTGAGACCTGTAAAGATGTATCATTCCATGCTGGACAACCTGAAGACATTGAGCTTTTATCCTGTAAACCAGTTTGGGTTCAAATGGATCAGCCAGAAGAGATTGAGCTTATTTGCATAGACTGATAATGAGATCGGCGTGATGGACAAACCAGGATCCTCAGGTGGTGAACTGGTGAGATCCGGATAATGCAGCTCAGACCATAACCAACGCTTAAGTTTTTCAATCTAAGACACGAATTCTGGTTAGCTGATGTTGTATGGCAAGTAAAATCAACCAAAGTCAACTGGTGTCAGTGGTTGCTCCATCCTGTATTTATCTTTTGGTAACTGTATGTACACTCTGATATTTCAGCAATACACATACATATATATACCTGGATGGCTGGATCAACCAAAGCCGGCTGGTGTCAGGGTTGCCCCATGCGGTACTTCTCTTCTGGTAACTGTATGTACACTCAGATATTTTGATGATACACATACATTACCTGGTATGTTCCTGTTATTATGTGCATTCTGATATTCAGCGTACAAAAATGTATCTTGTGATGAAGAGAAATTTACATTCAAACAATCTGTATTCAAAACTGGCATAGCATTGCACAAAATGAACAAAGAAAAAGATGATTTATCATTTGACTGCATGTATAAGATGTTGGTCAAGAGCGTATCATGGAGTTCCAGTCTAATATTTAACGAAACCAAACCAACCAATATGGGATGTTCACCACATAAGTATCTGCCCCAACATAGTACTCTGTCCATCACAACATGGCTACATACAGTAATGAATATTAAAGCAGCATGAACTAACATATCCGAGCTTAATTCATAATACTCCCTTCATTCCAAATTGTAAATCATTATAGCTTTTCTAAATACATAGCTATGTATCTAGACATAGCTAGACATGTAGTAAAAGTTATGTATCTAGGAAAGTCAAATTGACTCAGAATTTCGAGCGGAGGGAGTAGTGCATACATACATCTTGAATCTTCCTGAATCCAGAACACAGGAGGGACTTCACATCTCCTAGTCTTTTTCGCATTGATCACCAGTGGCGCTTATTGGTTCTGTTACCAACCACCGCACGCCGTCTCGATCTAGAGCGGCAAAAGTGAGCCTCGCTGCCGTGCTGCCCCCGCTCACAGACGCTAAATTTCCAGTTCTTGCGCCGCACGGTTGATCTTTTGGAGACCGGACTCGATAGGCACACTAACACACTCTTCGTCGAGCAGTTCCTGCGTCAAGAACCGTTTCTACCGTTCGTGCCATACGATGGCCTCCCCAGGGTGGGTTTCGCAGCCCACAGCCACGCGTCCTGCCACTTGCCGAAGAACTCCTCTTCCAGGAGCTGCGCCATGTCCTGCACCGACACCACGGACGCCCACCTCATTACCCCGGCGAACCCGCCGTCGTCATGCTTCGGCGGCGTTACACGCAGTGCCCTCAGGCCGTGCCTCAGGTACGGCACGACGTGCCGGCCGACGAACTCCTCCCAAGCCTCCGACAAACGCTTCCTTCCACGGCAACACCATGTCGTAGTCAGCTAAGGCACGCGCCGTGTGCCATCCCAGCAGCGCCTTCCCGAGCTTGTGCCGCACCGTCACGTACAGCGGCTCGAGCCAGCGCCCGAGGAGCGGGATCCACCGCTGCACCCAGACGTGACACGGCTCGGGCTCCCACCGCGGCTCCCACAACTCCATGGCGGCCGACAGCTTCGGCATGACCACCTGCTCCAGGAGGCGCTGGATGGCGGGGAGCGGCAACGCGTCGCCCCACGTCTCCAGGAACTGGATCATCGGTTCCGGGTCCTTGGCCTCCCACGTCTCGGCCGCCGATGCCAGCGCGGGTCCCACCACCACGTCGTCGACCAGCGCGCCGTACGGCGAGACGGCCGACCCGTCGTCCAAGAGCATGTCTTTGAGCGTGGTCACCGTCTCCAGCCCGCGCGACGGGTCCTCCAGCGGTTCCCACCGCTGGAACACCGCGCGCAGCAGCGGCGCCACGATCGCGCGCGCCGTGTCCGCGAGGCGGTACGTCGTGTACTCCCGGGGACACTTCTCTTTCAAGGCCGCGAACTTGCGGATCAGCTCGCCAGTCGTGAGCGTCCCCGACGCGCTCTGCTCCTGCACCCACTTCATGGCCTTGGTGATCGCGGCCGCCGGCATCTCGTCCCCGGGTCTCAGGTCTCCTAGCAGGCCACTCGACGTCGACGACCACCGTGCCACCCGCGCGAGTGCCTTCTGCACACGCACGACGGCCTCGGCGGCGCTCTCCTCCAGACGTCTGGCTAGGATCTTGTCGTCGACGACGTCCCGATCGCGCTTCCGTTTCCTTGCTCCTCCGGCTTCGTCCCACTTGGACCAGTTTTCGTCGCTGGGTGGTGGAAGCCCGTCCGCTCCACCGATGATGGATCTCTCGACGCTGCCGAGGCCGGCATTCTTGGGGCGGAGGGCCACCTCGATGGGAGCGATGATCCCCTGTCCGTGCCTCCCGAGGCCGCTGCCTTCCTTGTAGTTCATGCGCTTCATCATCTGCGCCACCACCGCGTTGGACGCAAGGCTCCCCGGCTCCGGCGGCGGCGACGTGGCCTGCCGAGCCGGATCCACAGACGAGGACGATGCGAGATTACGAGAATCCCCATGCTCATCGGACGACGAAACGGCCGCCGAGACAAAATGGACAGGTTTGGGGAGATCACCTGCTCCGTGTCGACGTTTCTGCGGCGGACGCGCGCCGGAGGGACGAAGACCATCCTCGCCACGGTGGGCAGACGCGGAGTTTCGGCCCGCTCCCCACTGTACCCAAGCTGACCTCCGGTTATCGCTGGCGTAGCCGCGCTCATCAGCCTCGCGGCGGTTGATCGCGTAGCGCCAGTCGTCGGCGGCCATGACGCACACGCCGTGGCCTTCGGGGATGTATCTGAGATCTGACGCGAGAATGCGAGATGCGAAGTGGGTTTTGGGTAGCCCGGCCGGCGGTGGTGGCTGCGGAGGCGGTTACTTGTGGCACATTTTTTTTTCCCGCACCGAACGTCGTCGCCGGTGCCTGCGGCCGTAATATCGTGGCTCGTCGGCGTGGAACGCGTGCCCGAGTCCGAGTAGAGAACAGGGATGAATATGGAAACCTTTTAGGGCACGTTAGTTTCACACGGAATGGAGCGCCGGAACGGATCTGGCCAGGAACGTTGACGTATTTTATACAGACCACCCACCACCAGGAAGCGATCTGGCCGGGAATCAGACGAAACGAACGAACGGGCCCTTGGAGAGTCCCGCTGTAAGCGATCGGTCGGTGAGTAGTGGCGTTCCTTATATATCTCGATGTACTAGGTCCGACTACTTATCGCATCGCATGGCGACTGCCCAGATATAATTTGTCCCGCTCGATCGCCCACAATTATTATTTTTTAAGAAAGGGACTGTATTTTATTAAATTAAAACTCCTTTTACAGAGGCCTCAACATAAAATAAACTACATTGAAGCACAACATTAGGTACCTATACTTCATCTTCCTCGCGTCCGGCGGCGTACACCCCTTCAGAAGCTCCATCACGACTATGGCCCTGTTCGCTTCTCTTATGATCCATCTTTTTCAGTTTGTTTTTTCAGTCGGAACAGTGTTTTTCTCTCACAATAAATCAGTCAGAACAGTGTTTCGACTTGTTTTTTCAGCGAAACGAACGGGGCCCATGGAAGTACACCAGATCTAGACCCGAGAACCACAGTCCCTACCAACGCAAGACTCCACGAACATGGAGACCACAAAAGAGGCATGGTAAGCTCAACCACTATGGGGAGTAAAGGGCGTCGAGGGCACATCGGCCATATCTTCTGAAGGTTGAACCGAACATAAGATCCGACGCCACTAGCATCACCACCAGGATAGATCTGCTGCCGCCGGTAGCATCACCGGCGGCCGGAAAGACAATCTCGTAGAAGGGGAAAAATAGATACAATCCCTCCTCGAGAAGGACTATGCCAACATACCTTGATCTCTCCAGGAAGAGCATGCCATCACCGAAGATGATGATGCATCCACCAGCGATCCGGTATGAAATAGAAAGCCAGATCGAAAACATCGAAACGGCCAGCCAAAACCTAGCCCAAATTATGATGGAGGAAAGGAAAATAAAGAGAAAAACCTAAAAAAAACAATAGATCTGCTAAAAGGACGGACCCCTGCTCCTCCTCACCACCGGCAGGGAGGCCGGAGGTGAGGGGAACGGGGGCCGAAGGCGGCGGCGGCGACGGAGTCGCCCCTGGGGGAGGGGGCGGATGGGGCTGAAGCGGTCATTCCGTGGCCTTTTCCCGTGCACGAGTTCAATCGCCCACAATTTTTTTGGCCGGTACAATTTAACTGCACGTGTTGCTGTTTTTTTTTGTATGATTTATTTTATCACGGTAATAGACGGGATAGTTTGTGTTCACCAAATTGCTAATTGCACGATCATCTACTATGACTCTCTCCTATCACAAATTAGCGATATTTTAAAGTTGGGTGAAGTCAATGGTTTCATACTCCGACTTTTAGGAATCAATAACAATTGAATAATACATAATTATTGCTGCATGCATGTTCACCTAAAGCATTTCTTACCCAGAGGGGGATATCAGTATTTTGACTAACGGCTGTTGTCTAATTATTGAAATAGAAACACTCACTTTCAAATGCTATTGCCATTCTCCATTCCGGTTTGTAGTAACGTACTTGGCGCACTAGTTCAATTTATGACAAATTAAAGGAGAGGGAGGGCACTCTAACCAGGCTATATTTTCACTGCTTCATGGATTTTCGTTATTGGGTCTCACCCTGGAAGAGATTTTCTGCATCAGCGATCATCGTGGGAATACATCTAAATAGATTAGGCAACACCGAAGAAACTCTTCAATTAAGCTTTAGTTCGTACTTCCCATCCTTCCGGGTACTTCAAAAGTATGTTCATCGGTAAGGACCGGAGTGGAGCTAAAGGATTGCTAGAAAGCTGGAATCCCAAGTGGAATGGAACGGGCGGCCGGTAAGTCTATTTGATAACCTTCGTATGCGTTAGCTAGTTCAAATACAAATATCTCATTCCTAGCTTTTGTTGCACACGTTTATCTAATGTACTCTAAAGCTATAATCCACGTAACAAGATTTCTTTGAAGAACTTCTGAAGTGCTGTTTGTATATATTTGAGACAAGAAAGAGAAGTAGGCCAACTTTCACTAAACACTCCTTATTTTATCTTCTAGAAAGTTTATTTCGTTCTAATATATCTATGAAGTGTAGAACTATTTTCAAATCTAGTATAGCTACTTCCAGACATTCAAACTCAACACATAAAAAACAATTCATGCATAGTCAGGGGTTTGGAATAGTTAACTTTAGATAACCCAAAGCGTCATTTATATGTAACTGGATGGAGTAAACAACATCATGCTATAGAACAATCACATGTTATATGTGGAGATACCAAAGGTAAGGTAAACTCCCAAACACGACATCGTCAAACCTGTATATGTATATCAAAGAGCCTTTCTAAAATCTACTCTCTAAATCATTATTTAGAGAGTCGTTTGAGTAAAAATTATTTTCTATATCTCTATATTCTCAAACAACTTTTCTATATTTTGTACGTAGTCTATAGAGCCATCCTCGCTCTTCATCATTAGCTGCTAGCAAGAAATGCGGAATAGATGTTATCTATATTTTGATATCCATTTGAAGAGGTTGTTGGAGAGTATTTTTTTAACCAAAATCTTTATTCTTGTAAATTAGAAAAGATACAAACTCTTTATTCTTGTAAATTGGTTGTGTGCCTGTATTCCTAAAAAAATGCAAAACGGCCCTTTTTGACTTCTGAAACCTACAGTTGGGTATAGTAGGGTGCAGGGAGCTAGGGGTTGCTCTGTAGCAACTTAGTGATTGAAGTTTGCTCAATAATAAAGTTGCCACCATACCCTTTGATTCTTTTTAGTGGAACAACATTTAATCTAGCTCCGATACAAGTAGGAATTTATTCTCATGAATAAATAAAAAAAATGAATAAGGAACCTCTTTGTATGGTGTTTTTTTTAGTTCTAGCGACATGTTCTTCATATTACTCCGTAAACTAATCCATATATAGTCTCAAAAGAAAGGAAATGAGGAAAACTGCAACTTAAATTTTTAGCAATTGGCAAGCGGTTTATTGTTCTTTTTGTTCACGTTTTAACACTTTATGTACAAAATGCAAGGAAAAACTCAAGAGGAAGGTTGACCTTTCTTTGGTTAGTATAAAACATTTAGTTATTTAGTATAAAATGCTAATTTTTGAAACTTTTGACAATTAATGAAGATGTGCCTTCGCAACAACTCCTTAGGAACATGTATCTGAAGGACAAAACTATAGGACATGTACAATAGAAAGCAGAAGTTTCATGCTTTTGCTCTAGGACAAAACTATATGAGCCATGAAAGCATGGGTGGACCCAGCACTAGGGCAGCCCAGGCCATGGCCCTAGTCGTGGCCCATGTAACAAGAGGGCAGGTCTTCAGTTTTTGGCCCATCAAGCAGCCCAACACAAGCAGGCCAGGCAACAGAGTAGGGCAACAGAGCACTAGAGCCGCTCGGGGCTTGCCTTCTCGCTCCGTAGCTTGCTCGCTTCGCGAGACTCGTGACTGCCACTGCTGCCCGTCGCCCACGCTGCACCGCCCGCCACCGTCGCCCGTCACTCGTCACCCCCTCCAGCCCTCCGCTCCGCGCTCCGGTTCCATGGCCTCGCCCGCCTCAAGGCTCTCGCTCTGCTCACAAGGCGGCGCGCGCACGCTGGCTCCTTCTCTCCTGGCCCGCAAGCGGCCGCCCTTCCGCTGCACGCCCACTGCAACTGTTGCGTTGCCGCCTCCTTCCTTGCATCTGAAAGCAGAGCAACTGAGCAAGCTTCCCTTGTTAGATTTAGACCTGATATTGATTCCAAATTTCCAGTTTCCAATTTCATTTTACATTGTCGCTGCACTCATGGCCGAGAGCCCAAGGCTTCTGAGTAGGAACTCTGGAATAGGAAGAGTGAAGGGATTTCTTCTCTTTATTTCAATTCTCTGCTGATTTTGATTCTAACTTCTAAGTTTAAAATTTCAATTTTGTTATTTCTATGTAGAGTTTGAACTTTTTATTCCAATTAGAATATAATTTTATAGATTTCTTAATTTGTTTAGAAGATGAAGAGGACTAGAACTTTAGCATCATGTTGCTCTCGACCGGTATAACACACACACACACACACACACACACACACACACACACACACACACACACACACACACACACACACACACACATATATATATATATAGTCATATAGACTATGGTGTAGCGATTGGTATTTCGCCTTTGAAATTTGGCCCTAGTCGTGACTGAATCCTGGGTCCGCCACTGCATGAAAGAATGCTTAGAGTTGTGTCGGTCATGATAAAACGATGGCCCTGCCCTTTTGGGAAGATAAGTAGATTGGATCTCTATCTTTAAAAGTTTAGTGTCCATCTTTAATTTATTTAATACTTCCACCTTCTTTTTTTCATGGCGTATTACCATTGTCTTAAGTCAAACACTTCATCTGACTATCAATTTCAAATAATCCATGTAGTTTAACAATATGTGAATGATATGTTATGAAAATATTTCTCATAGTGAATCTAAACACATAAATATTATGTTATCAACTTATTCAAAGATATAATGGTTTGACTTAGGACAAAGCTGAAAAATAGAGGGAATACTGTAAGAGAACCACGTGCAATAGTACAACATGTGATGAGTACCACTCCATTTGTATCCTTAGATAGGGGCATTGACGGGAATTGATCAAATGTACTCCCTCCATTCCAAATTATAAGTCGCTTTGATATTTTGTCTAGATACATAGCAAAATA